ATCTTACGGCGCTCATGCTCCAGATCTGCTATCAGCATTAGTCACAATCAAATTAACAGAGACTGCGTGCTCTTATGAAGGAATTTAACATTAAGCCATGAGAAACAGCACTCCCCGCCTCCCTTCTAAATAAGGTGCGCCCTATTCAAAGGATTTCCTCAAATTATAATGCTCAGTGCCTCAGGCACCCATGTGGATTCAGTCCATCAAATATTTAGCTGAATTTAGGTAACGGAACGTCAAACAACTCTTCCCGCTATGGAAAAACATCACCTTGCAGACCTAGAAATCGGGATTTGTCACCTTGGTGTGCTGCTTTCAGAGCCGAACAATTCACGCCTGCTCCTCCAGCACAGCAAAATAGCCCACTCTTTCAGCATGACTGTATTTATCACATCCAGATGCATTCCACCAAGCCATACAAAGATTAATTCTCGGTTTAAGGCTCTCAAGGATATAAGTTAGATCCCAAGCAGTGAGAAAACCCAGCATTTGCTCCAAAGACTTGGAGCAATCGACATCTTGGGAATCTTCAGAGATGTAGCTGCACATCTAGAATGAGCAGCCAGGTGGTATAATCCTATCAAGGGGAGTTAAGTTGTTGCTGATCTTGTTCCGCCTAATAGAGACCTAATTCTTGAGCCTCTATCGATAGATCACTAATGGGGGGGAAGACGCCACTGCCACACTGCCCACCGTGCTACGTCACGAACTGGGCAGCGACCACGGGGAGCTCAACACATCCAACACCCATCAGACACAGCGAGCAGAGCTAGGAGGGGACAAGACTGCAGCCATTCAGACCACGCAACTCACCTCGATTTTTCCAAATACCCGAAATATTTTACTTTCTGTTACCATACCTCCACGAAGCGACTGTGGGAGAGGCCCTGCAGTTATCACAGGTCGTATCCCACCCTCATCTGCTTGGTGGAACAGCACCCAATGCCCTCTCCCTCAGGGCGAGCCTCTGGCTCTCAAAAGAACCAGAAAAACACTGCCCACCTTCCCACCCAGCTCCTCATGGAAAGACAAGCCAAAAGCAGCACTGAGCTACTTTCAGCCCAGCTGTTCAGCGCAGAGGTGCCCCAGGCAATTACCTTCTTGCGGCGGGAGCCCGCCTTGCTCATGCAGGACCTCTCCAGGGACAGGTACCCCCCGATCACTTCAATCTCATCCACCGTGGGGTAGCGCTTTTTATGGGACATCCCCACTTGGGGCCCATCAGTGTTCTCCACGGCTTTGCCTTTTCCTTTGCTCTCCTCCTCCTCCTCCTCTTCTTCCGGCTGTGGCCTTCCGCTGGCATCAGTGAGAGTCTGCAGCCCTGAGGCAACGGGCTTCCTTTTGGGCACGACAGTGAAGGTGCTACCTCCCCTCTGGTGCAGGGCAGAGTGCGGTCTGTAGAGGGGCACGGAGGAAAACTCCATCTCCAGGTCAGGGCCAGCTCCTCCGGGCTGATCCACCAAGTTCCCAGTCCTTGCAGCCGAGCAGGCCCTGGGAGAAAGCTCCCCACTGTCTGGCTCCACAATGTCATCGATGTAAGTCACGGGTACCAACGGATCCAGAGGCGCCGGTGGGGAAGCGACAGGCTCTTCCTGCTCCGGGGCGGAAGCCCTTGGGGGCTCCTTCAGTGCCTTCTCCTCTGAGGGCGGTGGCAGCGGCCCCGGCCTGGCGCTCTGGGCCGGTGGCAGAGCCGGGCCACCCTCCCGGCGGGGCACGAAGAGGAAGGAATTGCGCGAATTCAGGCGCAGCTTGGCCAGGGCCTGGGCCTGCAGGTCATGGGCTGGGATGGCAGCCAAGTCGGGCTTGGGGGCTGGGTGGATTTCGAAGGAGCCCCCGGCCCGGGGGGCAGAGGCGGAGAGCGGCTGGGTGGAGCCGGTGGCAC